AAAGCTACGTACTGGCGTCGCACCCAACGTCAATTCAAACGCTGATTTTGGCGCCATGTTGCAAAGGCAGCGCGAATTACAAATTGTAACGAGCTGCAGATGGCCCATCAAATTTTTACGCCCAGCTTTAGGCGCCAAGCTGTGAAAATGCCGCGGCTCAAGATTGCGTGCGATCGTCTCGGGACCGCTCCACACTTTTACAGCTGTAATGGTTGAAATTTTGAGAGGATATTCATTCATTCTTTTACTACACGATTTCAAACTGAACCGACAGATATGCATGGTACACACGTATGGGCACGTGAAAATTTTTTGCAGAAAAATTGGTTCGCTAAACGGCTAGGACATTTTCAGTGAACAAACCGTTCAGCAGAAATTGTTCATTTTCCTGTGTGCAAAACCTATGATGATTTGCGCTAACGAGTAGACAAGCTAAAAGTAAAGAAACAACCACACATGCGATTGACGACCCGATTGTTTCAAATTTAATGCAAAAACGTCTGATCCCACCGGCAAGCCTGTTGCCCTCCAGCCTGGGTTTTCACTGAATCTTATAAAATGTTCCCTCCACTGTGATAGATTTCACTGATGCAAATGAACTTTGGGTTTTTTTAAAACCTTTCTCAGTCTAAATATTCCATTTTTTGCAAAAAATCGAGTTCTTTTTTGCAAAACTGTTCAGGAATCATTTGCAGCCCTGGGAGCCAGAGCTGTTGGCGGAAAACTCGGTAGCCTGGTCGTTGACTGATTCGGATGCTTGGGGCCCGGAATCATTACTTTTGGCAACCGATGATTCGGGCGTTGTATTTTTAAACCAGGGCCTTTCAATGCCTCTTATCGAGCCTGGTGCACGTATCCAGCAGTTGGCCGTCGAAGAACATTTTGGGCTATTTCTTGCTCGGATCGAAAAAGGTAAAAACGCTCTTTGAAAGCAGAATCTAGCTATTAGGTTCCAGTTGACTTTTTCGGAACTGAAGACTTTGACATTTTTCTTCAACATTTAACATTTTCTTTTTCTAAAAAAAATTTCTTTTTTAAACATTTTTAACATTTTTAAAAATTATTTGACATGTTTCCCCTTTAAAATCACCAAACAATCACACATGTTGAGTGTTATCCATGCGTGATTAAAGATGGTCAGTGGATTAAGCTCCAAGCAAACTGCCCCCCTCCCCCCCCCTCCTCTCCCTTCGGCTATCTCCTTTCCTGACTCCTTTTGAGGTGAATAATAGTTTTCCTAACGCTGGAACTCAGTCCCTTGGCTCCGCCTGGTTGCCTCCCCCTCCCCCTCCCCCCTCTCCGTTCCCCGCCCTCCACTTTGAGTAGCAGCCTTTATAGTAATCCAGTAAGAATTGAAAATGAGGATGTTTCATCTGCTTATCGAAAAAACCATATCTTATTTAGGAAAAGACGCTGGATTGATTGCATTTCCGCTGACTGATTTACGAGCAGCTGTACAATCGGGTCAGTTGATAAGAAGAGAGGCCTGTCTCGAGCATCGGATACCAACAACGAAAGGTTAGAGGAGTTGAGTGTTCCACAGAAAACAAGAATGGTACTCATAATTTTTAGAAATAGAGACATACTTTGAAGAATTCTAGGAAAGGACGAATCTTTTTTTATGAAAAAGCGCATCGAAAAAAATTTTAACAATAAATGGCCAACGCACGGGCTGCCCGTGCGAAGATGCGTTTTTTGCAGAGTTCCCCGCA